TTTCCATGATAAACATATTATGAAGAAATCCTTTGAGCCAGGACAAAAAGCATGGCTCTTCAATTCTAAACTTAAACTCTTTCCAGAAAGTTGTGTACCAAATGGGAAGGCCCATATGAAATCATTTTTGTTATACCTCATAGGTAGTTGAAATCAAGAGCTTAAAAGATGGCAACACATTCAAAGTAAATGGGCAAAGGTTGAAGCCCTACATTGAAGGGAAAGTTTTTCAAAGACATATGGAAGCCACCCTCTAGGTGGATCCAATCTATCTCGATGAATGAGATCATTTGAACGTTGTTTAGGGACGTTAAACCTAGTTCCTTAGAGTTTCCAAACTCTATTTCTCTATTCTCTCTTTAGTCTTTCATTTTTGCAGCATCTTAATAATGATCTTTGTTGTCTCAATGAAGTTTTTCCAGGCATGTTGTGCGCTTTTCAAAAATTATGTTTTTAAAAAATTCGAAGCCTAGAGTCTTCGATCGATTGACCTAAATTTCAATTGATCGAAAGTGCATCGGAAATGTTCAATCGATCGAACAATGGTCTCAATTGATCGAAAATGATTTCGATCGATCCAGTTTGAGTCGGAAATTTTTGATCCTTGGCCTCAGTTTTTAGGTGGTTACGATCGATTATGGTTCGGCTCGATCGATTGAAGAATTCTTCGATTGATCCAAAAAATATATATATATATATTTTGCCTTTGTGTAGTCTTGCTACTTTTATGTTTTCTATTGGGCTCGATCTTTCTTCTCTCTTTCATTTTGTGCCATATTGCCTTTGAATGCTTGATTTCTTATTCCATTTGATATTTGATGACAGTTCCGAGTGTGACCATTTTTCAGACAGGTTTTTGGAATCTAAGTTTGGGGGTGCGCCTTCCAAAACTAAGCTTTTGTTGCCGGGTCCTATTTTCTACACCCATTTGGTATACTCTTTCCATTATCTATTGCTTCTTTGTACATTGAGGAGAATGTATAGATTAAGTTTGGGGGTGTGTTAGCAAATTTTACATGTCGCACTTGGTTCTATGCATGTGGTATGAATTGAGAGTCTGAGCCATGATTTTTATCTTTTAAGGACCATGATCCTTAGAATTTAAAAATTGCTTGACTTGAGAGTCTAATACTCCTTCTATGCTTTGTGGATGCTATTTAGGAGTAAATTTTTTGAAAGATTGATAACTTGCTTGCATTTGTGGTCTACATCATCCAGTTTTTATGATTGTTTTGAGATTCACTCTAGATTTCTACACTAGCACAGGCACACACTAGCATTCATTTATGGGGTACATGCTTTGTTGATTATTGATTTGGTTATATCCCAATTGAGCTAGTAATGAATTGAAAGTTTTCATTTTTGACAAAGGTGGATAGCAAACCCTTTTCACTAAGTAGCCGGGATTTTAGCCTCATCAAGCAATGAATTTCTTACACCAAAAAGTGGAGGGCCCAAACTCTAGGTTTAAAAAAAAAAAAAAAAAAAAAAAGTTTGCAAAAGCAAATTGATAAGTGCTCAAATGTGATGCATTTTAGCACCTAAGCTAGGGTATTTTAGTTCAATCATCTATCTTACTTTCATGTTTTAGTACTTATTTGTGTTTTTGTCTATTTTAGGTCAATAAGGTTTAAATAGGCTAAAAAGAGCCTTTTAGCTCAACTTTGGAGCTAAGGAGAAGATCCAGGAAAAAGTCAGAAAAATTGCACTGAAGGAACTTCGATCGATCGAAGAAAGTCCCGATCGATCGAAGATATCTACAATCTATCGAGATCAAGGCGATGCTAGCTCAATGGATAAAGTTGCCAGGTGTCAAAAATATCTTGCCACGTTAGCTTCGATCGATCGAAGCAAGTGTTGGATCGATCGAAGACCTGTCCGATTAATCGAAGTGACTGTTGGTAGTGTGTTGTCTTATTCCCGAGCATGCCCGGACTCTACTAACTTTTATAGCTGCGAGTTTCCACCAATCAAATGCATTATTTTTGACTTGTTGCCTACTCAAAGAGGCTTATATATAAACAAAATGGACCAATTTGTATAGAGTTCCTCTAGTTGAAATTTTTACCAAATATAGAAATAGTTTCTCTCTCTAGAACTAGGGTTTTGGGAAGAAAACAAAGGAGAAGAAGATGGTGCCAACCTTAAATCCTTCTCTTGGGGCTAGAGATAACCCCAAGGCTTGCTTCCTAAACCTAGCATTTTGTGATTTTTGGGGATTTTAGTTGTAATTGATGTGTTGACCATGAATAAATATAGATCTTGTATTTTTACATGATTTGTATGAATTAATGCTTCCAATTGATCATTTAATTCTATTCATATATCTATGTATGTTAGAATGAATGTTCATGTGCTTTTCTCTAGATTTTATGCGTTTGATGCATGTCTATGTGTGTTGGAATTATAAATCTAGTGATGGTCAAGGCATGGTGCTTAATTGATTACTCTTATGGTTTGTTTGATGGATCATGCTTATTTCTTGATGGATTGTGCTACCTCCTTAGCTTAATTAGTTTAATTTTCATGTCATTAGTACAGTTGTAGTGTAATTGCTTTAATTTTCAAGATAAGTGGACAATCCATTCTTGTTGTTTGATGATCCATGCTTATGAGTGGAAATAGTACATTTCTCTAGATTTTTGTGTGTGCATTAATTATGGTTTCATTGAATGGTTAATGGCCTTATTTGATAGGTTGTGCTACTCACTTGATTGATTAGACAATCTATGCTTATTTGCCATCCATGCATAATTTTCAATTAATGACATACACACACAATTTACAACATGAATTTCCCTTTTTATTTACAATTACCAGTGTTTGGTGAATTGGAGCTTAGTGATGAACTCTAAGCCCCAAGACCTTTTTCTCATACTCTTTTCCCTAATTTCTAAATTGTCATTTAATTTGCATTGTTTTAATTAAACCATTAGTGTAATTCAACCAACCAAACCCTATTTGATCATTCGACCTACTAATACAACATTGATTCCAGAATACCTTGCAAATCCATTGGAACGATCCCTACTCACTCTTGCTACGTTAGTAGTTAGTAGTGGTAGTGGCTTTTATAAATTTAAACTTGGCCACAATCAACACATCAATTTTGGCACATGCAAGCAACTAGCGTACCACAAATAAAAGTGAAGACTTCTCCCAAAAGGTGAGAAGTGGGAAATGATTAGATGATGATTATTTTGATTTGTAACCTAGTTGATTTGAGCTTGTTAGTCCTTAAGGGTATTTCTACACCTAGTTCCCTTAAGCCATCCGGTTTGGGAGTCATTGCCCTAACGCTCGACCTCATGAATCATTAGAAAGCTTAATAGATCAACACATTGCACCATGCTTCCATCTTTGATCTGAAAGAATAAAATAAAATAAAATAAAATCAAGTGAAAAGAATAAGTGCACCTAGTTGAATAAAACTTTAATAAAAGGTTTATTCTTTGTTTTGATGATCGGTACTTGATTTGTGTGCTAGCTTAAGGCCGACTGTAATCATTTCTTTAGTTGGCTTAGATAGCAACATATTTGATGCTGGTTCACTTAAAATGAATTCTAGAGTTGTTTTGATTTACATGTTCATTGTCTTGATGTGTGGAGGACCATACTTGTTTGTTGGTATTGAAATTTTGGAGAGTTACTTAGAGATAGTTGAAAAATTGCATACTTGAAGTAGTTTTCTCCCGATGCTTGTTTTGTATGTTGGTGCCACTTTAGTGAGAAAGAGCCTAATGTCTGTCAGTATCATTTCTGGAAACCTCACGAGTCTTCACTCGTCCACTAGGGGTAACCTAGTGGTTTAAAAGGCTTGTTGCATACGCTAAATGCAACTGTATTCCCTACGAAAGTGGTGTTATCTTTTCATTACTTTCTAGTTCATAGTTACTTAGTTGTTTATTTCTTTCATTTCTTCATAGATCATTGCTAGGGACTAGCATTATCTAAGTTTGGGGGTGTGATAAGTGCTCAAATATGATGCATTTTAGCACCTAAACTAGGGTATTCTAGTCCAATCATCTATTTTACTTTAATGTTTTAGTACTTATTTATGTTTTTGCCTATTTCAGGTCAATAAGGTTCAAACAGGCTAAAAAGAGCCTTTTAGTTCAATTTTGGAGCTAAGGAGAAGACCCAAAAGAAGTAAAAAAAATTGCACTATTGAGGCTTCGATCGATCGAAGGAAGTCCCAATCGATCGAAGGAAGCTACAATCGATCGAGATCGAGGCAGTGCCAGCTCAATGGATAAGGTTGCCAGGTGTCAAAAATACCTTGCCACATCAGCTTCAATCAATCGAAGCAAGTGTTTGATCGATCAAAATCCTGTTCGATTGATTGAAATGACTACTGGCAGTGTGTTGTCTAATTCTCAAGCGCGCCCGGACTCTACCAACTTTTCTAACTGCGAATTTTCAATTTGTAAAAGGTTCCTCTAGTGGATATTTTACTAATTGTAGAAATAGTTTCTCTCTCTAGAACTAGGGTTTTGGAGCAAAGAACTAAGCTTGCTTCTGAAACCTAGCATTTTGTAAATTTTTGGGGATTTTAGTTGTAATTGAAGTTTTGACCATGAATAAATATAGATCTTGTGTTTTTACATGATTTGTATGAATTAATGTTTTCAATTGATCATTTAATTCTATCAACATGTCTATGTATACTAGAATGAATGTTCATATGCTTATTTCTCTAGATTTCACGAATTTGATGCATGTCTATGTGTGTTGGAATTATAAATCTAGTGATGGTCAAGGCATGGTGCTTAATTGATTACTCTTGTGGATTGTTTGATGGATCATGCTTATTTCTTGATGGATTGTGCTTCCTCCTTAGCTTAATTAGTTTAATTTTCATGTCATTAGTATAGTTGTAGTGTAATTGCTTTAATTTCCTAGATAGGTGGACAATCCATTCTTGATGTTTGATGATCCATACTTATGAGTATAAGTAGTACATTTCTCTAGACCTTTTTGTGTGCATTAATTGTGGTTTAATTGAATGGTTAATGGTGTTTTTTTTTATAGGTTATGATACTCATTAAATTGATTGGACAATTTATGCTTATTTGCCATCCATGCTTAGTTTTCAATTAATGACACACACACACATTAGATTTACAACATGAATTTCCCTTTTAATTTATAATTGCTAGTGTTTGGTGAAGTGAAGCTTAGTGGTGAACTCTAAGCCCAAGACCATTCTCTCATACTCTTTTCCCTAAATTCTAGATTGTTGTTAATTTATATGATTTTAATTGAACCATTAGTGTAATTCAACTAATCAAACCCTATTTGATTATTTGACCTACTAACCCAACATTAATTCTGGAATACCTTGCAAATCCCTTGGGATGATCCCTACTCACTTTTGCTATGTTAGTAATTAGTAATGGTAGTGGCTTTTACAAATTTAAACTTGGCCACAATCATCAAGCAATTTTTGTGCGTATGCGACCACAGTCACACACCAAGTTTTGAGCAACTTAAAATTATGACTTAACAACAAGGGCTCAAGTTATGAAGCTTAAGCTCAAGCTTTTTGGCATAGGCTCAAGCTATTTGGAAGGTTGCTCGAGCCAAACTTCTATACTTAGTCATTTTTCTTCAAATCTTTTCTAAAGCGTCTTTTTCATCAACACTTAGAATATTTTTGGGATTCTTCTGAACAGTACTCGATCACCATGACTTGGTACTCGAGCCTTGGGACTTCAACTCGAGTTTTTTGGGAAAAGGCTCGAGCCTTTTGGCTTAGGCTCGTGATCTGGCAATATGGAACTTCTGAAGCATCTTTTCATATTTTGAGGCACTTTTGCTCAAACATTTTTGCAAACACTCGAGCACCTTAAGTTTCGACTTGAGCTGAGATATCATGGCTCAAGATTTTTAGCCTTAGTTGATTTCCTTGCTTTTATTGACTTTAGTCTCGAGCTATGGAACTTATGCTCGAGCTGTGGCACTTAAACGTCTCTAAAATCGTCATTTTAACCTCAAACTTGCTTCAGATGATCAGCAACGACTCTATAAGCTTCAATATCGGTCTTTTCATCTTAAAATCCCAGTTTTAATCATTTCTTTAGGAAAGTACCTACAAACACAAAGTAAACATAAATTAGTATAACAATGGATAGAAGTATCACTTTAGGCCTTAACATAAGTATATTTAGGGGCTCAAATATGCAATATTCAGTACTCATCACACCCCCAAACTTACATATTGTTAGTCGCTTAGTAATACAGAACTAAAAAGCCGCTTTCATGGGAATCACGGTTGCATTTAGCTTATGCAACAAGCCTTTAAAGCCTTAGGTTACCCTTAGTGGACGAGTTGTAGTCTCGTGAGGTTTCCAGTGATAATACCCACAAACATCTCAAAGCAGTGCCTTAATTGCATAATAAGCTCATTCAAACCTGTATCATATCATAATGTCCCAACAATGCATCAATTAGTCAAATACAAAAAGTATTAAGAGCTATATCAATCAGGAAAAATTTTAAACTCTCAATATCATATCAACAACCATAGTCCTCACATGTCAGTTTAATCACATATTCAACAATCCCAATCCCCAAAATCCATTTTAGAAGTGAACCTATAGTTTTAAACATGTGGCTTACTATCCATACTTATATCTGTTCTATGTTATCCCACAATTCACAAGTAAATCTTTCAAATCCTGATCTCCAAGGTATTTTTCTTATTTTAACAGGTATACTTTCTTTTCATTCATCACTCATTTTTTTTTCAAACAAGATACTTTGTGCAATGCTCGAATCTCTAAAGCTCTCTAAATCACTTGTATAACGAGTTTTCAGCCAATGACTCCCAAACCAGTTGGTTTTAGGGCACTAGGTGTCAAAACACACTAAGGACTTAATTACTTAAGCAATCTAGGCTACAAACCCAAACTTGACCCTTTTGTTTCTTTTTCTTTTTTTCTTTTCTTTTTGTTTTTCTTTTTCATTTGCCTATTTCACTTCTTGGTGAAAAAGCTTTTTTCATCTTTACTGCAGCATAACATTTTTTTTATATATATAATTTATATACCTTGGTTGTAATGACCCGGTCATTTTCCTTCTTTCCTTTTTTCGGCGTTTTTCTTTTTCATTTGACCTTAGGATTTTTGAGACTTGAGGTAGGGTTTTGAGTTCAGTTTTGTGCTCGGATTTTATTTTCGACTTCACATACATTCACTTCATTTGATTTTCATGAAATGCATAGCTTTACTTTTGTAGAAAATCATGCTAACTTGTTTTTTTACCTTGTAGGGGTATGGATGCATAATTTCTTTGGAAACATTTTCAAACTTTGGGGTGTTTTGTATAATTATGCTTTTGTAATTATTTTTGGTCTTAGGGACCTTTTTGTAATTTATTTTGTGAGATATTTTGGGGAGGAACCATTTTGTAATTTTTGAAAAGTGTGACAAGTGTCACACTCTCATGGAGCCACTTGCTGACTTAGTGGTGGAGACACTTGAAAGCCTTGTTGGATGACAAATGTTGGTGAAGACTCACCCACTTGTTGTGTAATGACTCGGTCATTTTTGTTCCTTTCCTTTTTCTTAGATTTTTACGGATATTTTTGTTGTTGTCTTTTCTTTTCGGTGTTCGGTTTTTCGTCACTTGGTGTCATCTCAAGTGCTCAAAAATGATTTCTGAGAGTCTTTCCTTTTGATTCACAACTTCTTTTAAGGACAGAGTCTTTTCCACATTTTCACTTTTGGACACTATTCACTTTTTGTCTTTTTCCCGTTTGTCACTTTGTTGGCACAACCTCACTTTTCGTGTTCGGATTTGATTTCGGTTTTGCATACACCCATGATATTTAAATTCCATGCTATGTGTATTTTTACTTTTGTAGAAAATCATGCTAGTTGCTTACTTTTTTGTAAAAGGGCATGAATGTATGGTTTCTTAGAAACATTCTTGATTTTTGGAGTTTTTATGTAATTACTTAAAGTAATTATTTTTGTCTTAAGGACCACTTTGCAATTAAGTTTGCAAGATATTTAGATGAAGGACCTACTTGCAATTATTTTTGGGCTATTTTGGGATTATGGTTTTAAAAAGGGGTTTTTGTGTAATTGACCAAAGTTATGTGTGTTAACCATGGTGCTAGTTCATATAATGAGTGGAGGATCTTTATATCCTCCACTCACATTTCCTCTTCACCATTTTATCTTATCCCTCTCTTGAAAGAAACCTAGCCACCATTAGAGAAGCTTGATGTTTATGTCTTGAAATTGATTTTTGAGGCCCTTCCATTTGCCTTAGACCATAAAACTGGGAATACAAAAGCTTTGCCTCACCTCCCTCTATATAACCCTTGAAGGGTATGCCATTTTGTGTTGATTTGCCTTGGATTCTAGAGAGACACTTCTCTAGTGAGGTATGGGGTGTTCTAGTTTATTTATCTAAGTGAATTAATTATTTTTGTAGTGATGTATAAGTTGTATGCATGTCTTTTGTTAATCTGAGAAATTAATGATTAATTATAGTTTGCATATAACTCACTTTAGACTTGATATGTGGCATGACCATAACTTGATCTTTGTTGTATATTAATTTTGGGATGATTTAAGTGAGTTTTCAAATCTAAAGATTTAATGAATTTAATTTGATTTAAATTCTACTTAATTGTACTTTGCTTGTGTTCCATTTTAGACTCGATATATGGCATGGCCATGACGTAGTCCTTATTATATATTAATTTGGGGGTGTCATTTAAATAACTTTTGAAATCTAAAGATTTAATTAATTTAAATTAATTAAATTCTACATGATGGTATCTTGCTCATTTTGCACTTTTGATTTGATATATGTAATGACCATGATATGTTGTTTAACATATATTAATTTGAGGACATTTGGAATTGATTTGAAATCTAAAAAATTTAACTATTTTTATTTAATTAAATTCTATCTAATTGTTACTGATTTAATTATGTTTTAGAAGTTGTCTCTATATATAAATCATGGATTTAGACTTGTTGTGTATTCACTTGATGGTGCTTTAAGCATTGAATAACATAATTGTTAAATTTATATTCATGAGAACTTGTTTTTAATATTGAATATATTATTGTCATGTGTAATGAATTGCACATTTTGTATTACACATTATATATGTCATTTTAGAATTGAAACCCTAAGACACAGATTGTGTGGTTTCAACCTACTTGTGCATGGAACGTGGTTTCGTGCATGATTTAATTATGTATAAGTGGTGAACTTATTTATTGATTTTGGAGTCACTTAGGACATTGTTACGAATTATGTGATGGTTAGGGTTTGACTTTAGTATGGAGACAAGAGTCTTCTGAGTCATATGTGCGCACTAGGGTGGTATTTCCAGCGGGTTAGTGCCCGAAATAACCGTTTAGGTCTTGGCTTTATCTAAGATTTGATGTCCAAGTCTTCCACTATTTGATTTCGCATTCAATTCCAAGTTGACAACCAATGTTTAATTGTGACTTGTGGTTTTGGTTATTGGTGATTTTGATGTTGTTAAGTACATTTATGCATTATGATTTGTAAAGAATCATCATATGTTTTTTTATTTTGCTAAGGACATTAATGCATTATGATTTTTAAGGAATCATCGCATGTTTTTAATGTTGTTAAGTGTATTTATGCTTTAAATGTTCAAATGTAGCTTAGGAATGATCCTATATATTCATTTGGAACATAGACATTAGGTGGTATGACCCACTTTTTTTGCTTTCGTATTTTAGATTTCAAGTTGATGGCTTTGAGAATCTATATCTTATTGCTCTGTATAAGCATGCTCCTATGTTGTTAAAATTGCATGAACGATGTGATTTATGCTAGAAATGTTCTAAAGTAGCTCAGGATGCTCCCTGAGTCTCACCTTTGACATAGACGTTAAGTGGCATAACCTTTTGAATTGTTTCACCTTAATGTGAAAATCTTGTAAGACGTTAAGTTCTTGCATGCTCATCTCCTACGAGTAGCTTTAAGTTACTCACCCCAAAGTTACCGGGGACATTTTTCAGGTACAGGAATAAAGGTTGAGATTCTCATTATGCTTAGATGATTTGTGGACATGAAAGTTTCCATTCTTGTAAAGGTTGGCTTGAAATGCCACTTGTGGTCTTATATGTCAAAATGTGTTCATTTGATTCTAAATATGTAATGTGTACATAAGCACACTCTTTTCAATGTATTTGACATGTAGGAGATAAGGGCATATGCCATTGACATCTAAATTGTATTCTATGCATTTCACTTTTAAGGTTTATTATGGGAATATTGAAAAATGTCAAGCCATTGTTTCACCATATTTGCATCGGGTGTGGGAATTCCATTTTTATTCTTCCATAGGGTCTCATTAATTATGCATGAAGTGTGGCTAAGGGCCAAATGGTAATTTGAAGCCATTTCATAATTTTGAATTTCAAAATTTTCATTTCATGTACATTTTTGCCTTTTTGGCTGTTGGGGGGTCGGATTTTGCATCGACGGTATTTTTAAGCAGTGGATCATTGGAGCGCGTCCCTATACGTAAGTTACATCTGTGTGCATGATCATTTCTAGGTGAAACCTCTTCCTTAGTGAAATGAGCCTCATTTTGCATTTTTGTTGAAAAATCTAGTTTAAGGGCGATTTAGGGTTTTCCTTCGGGAGATAAATTCCAGTTTTGACTCTGTCGCATAGAAAATGTGATTTTAAGGGTAGTTTCTTCATAGAATTTTTCCAGAAAATGTCGTCTCGCCCTTGAAAATCCCAAATCCTTTTAAGTTTTCAGTTTCTACATTTTTTTTTCCAAGAAAAGTTGTTGCAACATGGCCTCGGCCCAAAAGAGCTGACTCGGTTCTAAAAGAGCCGACTATTTCTTCAACCGAGCCGACTCGGTTCACAAAGGAGCCAACTAGGTTCATCTAGGCATCATTTTTCTCATTTTGCATGCTCTCAGCCCAACCCAGCTAACTCAGTTCTCAAAAGAGCTGACTGGGTTCATTCACGCCTCATTTTGGTTATTTTTGGTGCTCTCGGCCTAAAAGAGCCGACTCAGTTGCCAACTGAGCCGACTCAGTTTGGTTGCCATGATGACCTGTCTTCAAATGGTCATAACTTGCTCATCCACGGTCCAAATTAGGTCATTCTTGAGTCTAAATTTAAGAGCCTGAAGTCAAATTTCCATTGGTACCAACCATACCCTGAAACTCCAACCATACTGAGAGTTATGATGGTTTTAGCGAGATGGGGTTATGGTACCTCTAAGTTAGAGGACGCTGCCTTGTCCTATCTTCATATCTTTATCATCCAGACTCCGAATCAAGTGATTCTTGAGTCTAACTTTGTTGATTTTCCATTGTCTATCCAATGATATGCACGTTGGCACCCATTTCATTTTAGAATGACCATTTTTCCCTTAGTTTATTTCT